GTTTCCAAATCGATTTCTCATGCGATCTTCTTGTTCGTGAATGCATGCCCGGAGGCTGATTCTTCACTCTGATTAGAAAATACCTGATTAATTTGACGCAATTCATCAGCATGTGATCGGATTTCATTCCCCAAGTCTGCGCTTATCTTTTCGCATTGGTCAATGAAGGCCTGAAGATCCTGGAGCTCGTCGAGAGCCGCTCGCAACTCATCCAGTTTTTCCGCAAATAAACGCAGTTTTTTGCTAAAACGAATGTGTAATCGCCCGCGTACTCATCTGATTGCTCACTCAGCTACCATGGCGACAAAAACAGCAGAGACAGAAGCACTACTTAAGGCTTTAGCCATTTCGAAACGTCTTTGGTGTGCGCTAGCTATCGCCACATCACCCCGAATCTTATCGAATAGTATTTTCAGGCGTTTTTTTTTTTTTTTAAATTAATGCAGTGCGAAATGGATATTGTAGGGGAAGTGTCTCCATATTTCGATTTTCGCATCTGGGGAAGTTATGAAGCTAAAATTTTGGCAACTTTTTCTGCCACTATATACGGATCCCTAAGTGTAAAATGAACGTTAGCGTTCTCACAGTTTTCAGTTACCATAACAAAAAATAACTAGTAAAAAACAGAAAATTTTGCCAAGAATTTCCTAGTTCCAGCCAAACCTTTACAAAAACCTTTGAAAAAAAAACCTTGGCCACACTGGTGGTACATCTGATCAGCAAAATTATCAAGTGTTTACTTTGCAGCTGATAATTTGAATAACTGCTTGCTCAAAAGTGTTAAGTCCATAAATTACTGCATTGCAATCAGTTCCTCTTTCGACATATTATCACAGCAGCACACCTGAATGAAAGCAGTGTAATGAAGTCAAGCTCAAAACGCCTTTTATTCCAGCCTCTTAACACATGCACGTATCACATGTATTCCTCAAAATAAAATCGGGCTCGCAGACAGCGGATCTCGCGATTTGAGGGACGGAAACTATGGAACTGGACAATCTTCCTTTGGGAGTAGATGATGACTCAGCTATCACATTAAAGCAAAATTTTACAATATACTGCAGTGCGAGCAGAACATTTCCTGTCTTTCCATTACTCCATTCTTATGCCTTTTGTTACATGCCCATAGACGATGGGAAGTTATACTAATGGTCCTCACTTGCAAGCTTCAGCTTTGAAAAAAACACAAAAAAAGACGACGCTTAAGGATAAAACGGGGTTCTTGCAGGACAAATAAATATAGCTGAGGAGAACTGCATGGGACGAAGCAGCGCTGTCTGGGAATGGTTGCTGAACGATGGATGGAGGGGAGAAGCATTTATGCACATGCTGATGATGATGATATAATGTTGTTGAGCGGTTACGGGGATGAAAATCGTATGTGAATATCAAACGACGAAACGGTGTGTAAAGAAACCACTACACTGTTGTTGCTGCTGTTGCTGCTTCTATTGTGTAACGTGCAGGAATGTGGAGGAAAAAGGAATCGGCAGGACGAATATTAAACAGCACAAAAAGTATTCCATTTTGATTGCATTTTTAATACAAGCATTGACTTTACCGGTTCAGCCACACGTTCAAAAGATGTATATATAGCATTCAGTTCCGCGAAACCGGAACAGCAAAAATACAGTCCTCGTGATTTTGCTCAAGCTGATCAAAACAAAATCAGATGCAGTGTTCTCGAAGCAGTGTGTATCGGGCTGGTCATGTGGCAAGAATCCAAGGCAAAAGCTGGACAAAACGGAATATTGAAGGGTACCAAAACAGTGTTAAATGAACGCACAGAAGGCAGCAAATTAGAAAGAGTAACATGGATGCGATTAGCCCAAAACAGAGCAGAACGGAAAAACTGTCAGCTGTACCATCGATGAAAAGGGGGGATACGTAGTTCAGGCATTAGCTGATTAAAGTACCACCAAAGACGTAACTGGCTGCTGGATGCAGCGAGCCTCATAATGGTTTATATATGCTCCAGTACGGCACTCTATAATTTTATTACTGTATTTAAGTACCAAACTTTTAACACTGAAGCCTTTCCGTATTATCGCTGCAGTTGGCGATTTTTACATAGCTGATACAGCAAGTACTCTTCCCGCTAATATTCCAACCAAAGCTGTATCGGCTAGTGGTCAGCCTAACGATGATTTTGGTGTGGTCAGCATACTGACATTCTTTTTTATGCGTTTTCACTGTGCAGCGTTACAGTGCTACTACAGTAGGCGAAAAGCATATTGGCAAAGGGCTGTGTGTTTATGTGTGTATGTGCGTGTCTGTGTGTTAGCACTTTTTGTCACCCAATTTCAACTCGAGAAGCAGAAAAGGCAGAAGGAAATTGAAACTTCAGAAGTGGTTGCCTACGCCCTGTGCGACCCTTCTGCTTTAATATCACCATTCGCATACGCCTGGATCCATAGGTGGACTCAGAACGGACTTCTGGATGGGGTACGGGGGAGGGGGGGGGGAACGGAGGTGGG